GCCGGACGTCGCCGACACCGATGGGGCCAGGTTCCCCGGCGCCGCCGCGGCCACGATCGACTCCAGCGCCGCCGCCACCCCTGTGGGTTCCGCCGCACCCGCAGCGGCCCCGGCGCCAGGGGCGGCGGCGGAGCCCCCGCCGGCACCTCCCGCTCCGCCGGGCCCCCCGCCCCCCTGCCTCTGCATGGACCTCTCGATCTCCTCCACGAGGGCCGGGTGGTTCCCGACCAGGTGCGGGATCTGCACGATGTGGCTGCAGTACTGCGGCCACTCCCCGAGGCGGCCCTTGAACTGCTCCAGCGCGAACATCCCGAACCGGAACATCTTGCCGGCGGGGTCCGGCCCCGGCGCGCGGCGCAGAGCCTCCAGCACGTAGCGGAGGGCGATGCCGAGGGTGATGGAGCTGACCAGCTGGTGCTGGATGAGGGAGCCCAGCAGGATGCCCGTGATACGGAGCTCCTTCTCCGGGTAGTTGTGGAAGAAGCGATACTCATCGAACAGGTTGTGAACCATGCACGCGAAGATCTCCTGCTCCCGCGTGTCCGAGGAGGACTTGAAGCGCTCGAGCATCGCGATCACCTTTTCGTTGGGAGGAGGGTGGATGGGCGTTGGTATGCAGCACGTGAAAAACATGCATTGTATGAAAAACCAAATCGTAAACGACACCTATTATAACAAACCCTACAGACGCCAGCACGGTTCACCTCCCAACCAAACGTTCTTCCCATGCATGCCGAACAACATCCTGGCACAGAACCATGAAACGACAAAAGCAACATCCACCGCCATGTGTTCTTTCGAAAACGCCACCACGACCACACGCGGAAGCATTTTCGTCACCTCTTCGATGGATTGCTCCGCCGTGTATATCCTCTGGAAGTAGCTGTTTGCCATCGACTCGATCTCCTCCGGTGGGTTCAGCAGCTGCCGAGATCCAGACGCACGAGTTGAGCACCGCACACGACAAGGGGGTGAGTGGGGGGGAGGTGGTGGGACTCAGTCCAAGTCATGGAGCCGGCCTCTTGGTGGAGGCAAGATTGCGAGCCTATCGTTCATCCTCGGGTCAGAACCACGTCAAGGCCTGTGCAAAACACTGCCACAACCGATCCGTCGCGTCCCGCACGTAGACACTTCTATCAACACATCCAAAACCTGACCAAGCACCGGGCATGGGCCAACAACCTCCTTCCCCCCTGCCCGGTACAAAATCCCACCAAACTCAACATGGGCGAACCGTCATTTCCCCCTGCCCGGTACAATCCCAACAAAAAACGCTTGCACAAATTCGACGACAATCAGCAAACCACACGTGCGGACAAGCAACAAAAACACCCCCACAAACCCCACCACCCGCCGCTCGGAGGGCCTTCTCTTCCGCCGCCGCCGCCGCCACTGCCGCGCACCTGGTTGAGTGTGGGGTGCATCTTCTTCCCGGCCTCCGCCAGCTGCTTCGCCGACGCCTGGATGCCCGGGTTCTTCTTCGCCAGTGCCTCCGCCGCGGGGGACACCAGCCCCGTGGCTCCCAGCGCCTTGAGGAGGATAGCGGCGGCCTCGAGGGACATGGCGCACGTCGGCAGCATGCCCTCGCCCGGGGTCTCCCCGGGCTTCTGCGCCGCCTGCCGCATGCGCGCCGTGGGGAAGTGCAGCTGCGGGGGGAGGAGGCAGGAGAGACATGAGCAGCGGGTTGGGGGTAGGGGAGAAAAAAGCGGATTCAGAGGCGGGTAACGCACAGACCCGAAAAAAGAGGGAAAAGTCGTCATCAACGGCTGAAGAGATTGTTAACTCAGGCAAGGGTGCGAGCAACGTCGGAAACGTCATCAAACAGCACCGTCGCCAAAAACCTTCGCGCCAGACACACCAGCAAAAGCCAAACTACGCTGCCTGAATCTCCCCACCAGCCGGGGTGGTTGCACGCTACCATCGCCATTTCACCTGCACAAACGACAGCACCCTTGCCGCGAACACCTCCCGGTCCTTCCTGCCAAGCCGCTCCGCGCCCCACTTGTCCAGGTCGAGGGGCGGCAGGGGGCTCGGCGGCTGGGGCGCGTTCGGGGTCGGCGGGAGCTCCGCCCCGAAGACAACGCTGGCCACCGCCACCGCGAAGGCGCAGTCGTCGGCGCCCAGCAGCTCCGCGGCGCAGTCCGGCACCAGCCGCATGATGCGGAGCACCTGTGGCGCGGTGGCGAAAAAGAAACGATCGGCGAGTGGTGACGTAGAGAATGGACATCAACATCGACATCCAGAAAATAGAGAGGGAGGGGTGGACTCATGCAGGCGCATGCGGTAGTCGTTAGACCATAGATGTCGCATCTCTGCAACGCCGGGACGGAGCGATATGCCAGTTTTTTCGCCAGCCCAGGTTTCAGGAGTACCGTACGGAGAGGGCAAGAGAAACAAAGACTTCCGACATGCGGGTACCGGATGGGCGAGGCAGCAGCGGGCCGAGAATGAGGACAAACAAACCGGCCGAATCTCGGTCAGCAGGGCAATCGGGATGCTGCAAACCGAAAAGAATTCCAACACTCCCAACACATGCACGCCCCGGGCCTCTCTTGTAGCGAGTTGTATGGAATTATTGACAACCTGAAAATATCACACAAAACCGCCGTAATGCGAACCTCAAGCAGACTCATTGCACAAAGACACTACAACGTGGGTGCTGCAGTGAGATATTTGCGAGCTTTCCATACCAACTCAGGCATTCTTCCCGGAATTTTCTTTCGCGTGGGGAATTTGGGGAACTGCTGCATACCAATTTCACTTTCTCCTCCTTAGGTGTTTCAATTCCGGTCCGTGCCACGAAGGCCGAAGTGTGAAAGGAGGTTCTTCCAAGTGCAGCCTCCAGCAGAATGACTTTTACCCTTGACGTGGGTTGTTGTGTTTATCATATTTGCACAGTTTGTAACCAAAAACAAAAACAACCGAGGTCCTCCATCACCATGCACACCAACAACTCACGTAAACAACGCTGGGCAGAGTGCTGTCCACGTTGAACGCCTTCACCCCGCTCTGCACCACGAGCCGAGCGTTGACCTGCCACAGCCTGCGAATGAGAGCCGCGGCGTGCTTGTTCCGGTTGGGCCTGAAGTACAGAGGGAGGAGCCGCGACAGCATCTCCACCCTCAAGCTTCCCCCAGCCTCGCTTGGCACCGCCGCCAGCGCTAGCAACAGCAGCTCCGGGCACTGGTACGCCGGCTTGCTGAACACGTCACGGACCTAAATGCATGACGCCGATGAAAGGAACAGAGCGGCCGTATGATGGATGTGAAAAACGACGAGCTAAGGCATCACCCCTGGTCCACGTAGAAGCCGGCCGATATACTACTTCGAACGAAAGTACGCCATGCAACAAACTCGTCCCCATCTCTCAAACGCCTGCTCCAAGGAAAGGCGACTGGGGCAAACCCCCCGCTGGGGGGGTTCATGAAGAAAGAGAGAGCCTCCCAACAACAACAACAACAACAACAACAACAAGGCATATCGCCACCACCAACAAGCAAACAGCACAGCCAAGCTCCCCCACCCACCTGCGCGTACAGCTCCGTGTCATTGGCGAGCGACAGCAGCGACGCCACCAGGTCGAGGCTGAGCCAGGCCCCGTTCGGCGTGGCCGCGCCGGGATCCACCCCCTCCAGGGGAGCCTGCTTGGACGGCGAAGACGCGAACGTGAACACCTGCGGCGGGGCAAGGATGGCCACTCGGAGGAGGCTCAGGTGGCCCCGCCGGTTCTGCCACTGCATGTACAGGGCCTCGAACGGGATGTCGCGCCCCGCGGGGCCCCGGTACAGCGCCAGCAGCACTCGCAGCGCGTTCTGGTTGGTCCACCGAATTTTTACGATCGACAAAAATAAGAGGGGGGGCGGCGGAGGGAAAGAAAGAGAAAACAAGTCGTGAAGAAGAAGAGGGAGGGAGAACGCGACGTTTATTCGTGGGAGGCTACGGATCGACAACAAATAAGTGGGGGAACGAGTCCTCCGGCACATCGCTCGGCCCTCCAACAGAAGACTCCATAGCCCGATAAACAATCGATCGCACCAAGAACCTTCGTTTCCACCCACCTGGTCCGGAATGTTGAACCTCTCGTGGTCCAGGGCCTTGGCCACAGCCACCCAGTCCAACCGCGGCCCGTAGTCCTCCGCCAGCACCTGCCTAGCCACCTCCAGCTTCCACAGCCCCTGTCCTTGCCCCGCGGGGCCCCCTGCATCCCTGCCCGCGTCGCCAGCCATCTTTCCGTCCGAGAAGGGGAGACCGGAGTTGGAAGGAAGGCAGAGAAAGTGGTGGGGTTGGTGGTGGTGACACAAGAGGGAGGAGAATCGGGTGAGAGTGAGACCAAGCCAGTCTACAAAAGGAAAACACAGCAATCACAGCAGTTCTGCGGTTTTGGGACCAAGAATACTACCACACCTCGCCGTCACCAAGCACAGGAGCACCAACTACGACACCAAAAAAGACAGGAGCGAGCACCAGACAACCAAAAAAGCCGGGCGGGACTGGCCTTGACGCCATTCAGGGCTCGCCAACAAACACCTTTCGTGCCATCTTCTCTCGTCTCTCTGCCTCAACACCTCAGTTTTCCTTCTCTTTCCAGAACCCCATCTCTGTCAAATAAACTGCTGCTGTCCGCAACCCTCCTCTCTCACACGTACGCTACACGCACCTTCCCTTCTCCTGCCGAGAAGAGGCTGCTCGTGAGCGCCGACGAAATCTCTCCGTCGTCTCCCCCTTGCCCCTTGGGGCTGTTGTAGTTGTTGGCCAACATTGTCATCACCTGCGCCACCTGGCGCTCGTCGACCACCACCCCACTTTCCTGTGGCAACAAAAGCGCAGCAGCAACAGCAGGAGGGGGGGGGGAGGGGGGGGGGGGGTCAGCTCTGGCAATCATCGTGCTTACTCGTAGCCAGCGAAGAGAATACTATGCTACAGGCACAACAAATCAAATTGAGGAGAAAGACAACAGCACCACATAGACATTCTGTGCTACATGTATATTCGAGGCAGCACATCAGGGCCAGCCTTTATCCTGGTCGAGAACGTACACCAAGCTGCTAGAGCGCACTCGACAGAGGAACCACCCGCAGTCGGGTCGAGTATGTCCGTGCAGGAGCCCAAACGCCCAACGCCAGCCTCTTGGGACGATTTAGGCCACACGTTTACAAACAAGTCATGATTGATATTTCCCATCCGAATTTCTTGCTCGTTTCGATTATCAGGTGGGCGCCGAAAATCAACAACATCGCACGACGACCTGTAACCTGATCGCCCTACGTGTGTCCGTACATGCCGTCATACAAAAAACATCAACTAATCAAAACCACCAAATGTGTGTTTGTACAGACCGTCGTACAAAAAAACACATCAACCAATCAAAACCACAAACGACACAAGGCCCCCCGATCGACAGCCACCGGACGCGAAAAACCACCGCGGAAGCAAGCACAACGAGAGAGGCGGCGGCTAAATTCCACGGGGAGCTGGTCAAACGCACCAAACTTTTCACACGCCAACAAACCACAAAAATAATCGCACACCCACAACGATATACTCCTTGTAGCCTCTCACCCTGATTGCCTGCCGCAGCGCGGCCGGGGTCGAGCAACAAGTGTGCCCGAGGTCCCTCAGGAACCCGGCCAGGCTCCCGCCCCGCCCGATGCCGCTGGCGATCCCCGCCACGTCTGCGGCGAGAGACATGGCCCCCTGCGTCTTGTTGAGAAAATTCATCTCCCCCACGGAAGAGGCGTGCTCCGCAAACAACGGCGCTAGCGCTAGCGCGTCCGCCTCCAACCACGCCGAAGACGACGGTGCTCCCCCCCCTCCTCCTCCGCCCGCCCCTCCTGCGGAGCCCCCCGACGGGCTCTTGCCCCCCTGTTGTTGGTCCCCCCCCGACCCTCTCCCTGCCTCCCCGCCCCCGCTTCCTCCTGCGGCGGGTCCCTTTCCCCCCGACGCGCCCGTGGACCCGTCTAGGCCCCTGAGGTAGTCTTGGTGGGCTTCCCTGATCTGTTCCAGCAGAGACTTGGCCAAGTCCGGCTGCGGGCGGAAGGGATCGCGCGTGGTCCCATGATGTGATGTTAGGTGGTTAGAGGGCGGTGCCATGGTTTGGTTGTCCTTCCGACAGAATCATGTCCACTGAAAATAGTCATCTCTACATCACATCCCCAAAAATGGTTTGAGGAGGGAGACTCATAAAGGGAGGGAAATAATTGGTAGGTCCAAGAAAACTCGTTAAAAGTTTTGTGGTCTCGGCTCTGACCGTTCGTGGCTGCATTCGAGCCGTGACAAGAGTGCGGCAAAAGAGACAATAACCGATGGAGTGCAGAAGGGGGGAACGGGCTTGGCGACCAGTCCAAGTACTCTTGTTGCCAGTCAGCTACGGCAAGCAACAACCACATTTCGGACCCTCCCCACGCCCTGCTGTTCATTATTGTCGGTGAGGGCCAAACGCCGGCTTTGTGCCGAGAGGAATGCTTGGAAGATCAACACGTTGTCACTCATCTATTTTTCATATCTGCTTCGTAGGACTGCAAACGAGTACAATAGCAAAAACGACAGTCGGTGCTGACATGCAAACAAAAGTTTTCAAGAGTATGGTCGTCCGCAACATGGGTTGACACCCCAGGTGCCGAATTTTCCATGCTGACAGGACCACATCTGCCTCCAAATGATGGTCTGTACCCATGGATGGAAAAACGGCCCACGATGCGGAAAGTACACCATCTTCGGCAACATTACATTTAGAGAGCCCTCACTCAGACGGTAGGCCAACCCCCCCCCCCCCCTTCGCCCCCGTCTCTCCTCCCACCTGCTCAAAAACTTCCTCGTTCGAGTTCACAAGCTCCAGCAGCGAGTGCAAAGCCTCCAGGTTAAGCTGCCCGCCTCCCGCCCCAACAAGCCCCGGAACTCGTGCGACGAGGAACTTGACCCCTTCCCTTGCGACCGCGGCGTTCGCGGAGCGCGAAAGCCCGAGCGCGACAGCGACTTGCTGCTGCGGCGAGAGTTTCAACGCCCGGCAAAAGCCTGTTGATCGTGTGGGGGCGCAGCGCGAGGGCGTGTGTGTGTGTGTGTGTGTGTGTGTGTGTGTGTGTGTGTCTTTTTTTTTTTATTACTAGCATCGACCGCGTGTGTGTTGTTGTTGTTGTTGTTGTTGGCATCTTCACATTTGTGTGTTGGTTTAGTCGCCATCGTGCGCGCCCACTGGTTTGAAACAGGACACGCCGACAGTGAATCTCCTTCACGGTGACCCCCTCCCCCCCCGACAGGGGAGCCGCGGATGAGGTTGCACGGAAAATATGCATGTTGCGAATGTGTGCGGACTATTGTAAACACACTATAGTACATATGCTAACGAAATATTACATACCCCATCCACTCTTTGCGACACAAGACCACACACACCACAACTTGAGACAAACCGCATTCCTCTGCTCATCACATTTGAAAAATACTACTTCGTACTTCCTTACATCGAGCGCCAGGAGTATGCACACACTATAGAAATCACCCCAAAGGACACGCACCTGCAAGAAACTCTTCGGTGATGCGGTGGGGCCCCTGTTGCCCCTGCGCTCCCCCGCCTCGCTGCCTCGCGTGCCCCTGCTCCCCCCTGTCCCTTCCCCCCCCTCCTCCCGTTCCCCCCGCTCCTACCCCCGAAGACCCCTCTAGCGCCCTGCAGATGGCGCTAACGAAGTTCGGCCTGTCCGCTGCTTGCGCTAGTTCGTGCTGTAGCAGCTGGATCTGCCGCCGAGCAAAGCGATCAACGTTTTCACGACGAAAAACAGGCGGTTGTTCGAGGCGGATGATGGAGCAGAGGTTAGAAGAAAATGAAGCTTTACGTGAATACGAAAACAATCTCAACACAGAAAACAGCGACTACTGGCACTGTTCAGCCGGGATGTACACGAAACTTGTCAACGGGGAACGCGGTGGTAGCTCGCCGGGTGGTGACTCGAAAATGGAGCTCCTTCTACTAGCTTTTTGTTTTTTTGCCGGCGTTGACAATGCAGCGGGCAGGAAGAAATAGAGGAAGGGGGGCAGAGACGACTGACCCAAGACAAGTCGCTACGGAGGAGATGGGGCCAAGATTTCATCATGACCCCTATGAAGGGCAAAAGAGCTGGGCTAATGTGCTATACATAAATCTTGTTATGTCTGCAACTAGAACCAACGAGCATATCGGTGACATCTGAGAGTCCTTAGAAAGGCGGAGGTGAGCACATGGGAGGAAAAAAATTGCACGTATCATCACAAGAATCAAACGTCATCGCAATACAACACCATGGTATGGTGTCCTCATGGTACGTCACTTTTTGTGTACTTCTTGCTGTCGTCTTTGTTCCTAACCTAGCACCGACCGCGGTAACCAGGTGACCAACAAAATCCAGTCAGTTTTACAACAAGCGGGAAAAAAACAAAAGAAGCCAACACGCTGTCTCCACAGCAAGGAGTCAGTTGTCATCGGGCTCTGTCGTACCTTCTGAGTGTCCTTGTTCCCGTGGTGCGCGTGTGTTCTCTGTTCTTTGAACCCGGTTTCTTCCACCAGGCACTGCAAGAGGAACACCCTCGCATCTTCCCCGTATAACTCGATTAGCTGATTTGGTTGGTCGGAAAACAAGACCACGAGAGACGAGAGATACAGACACGACGGAGACAAACGAAGGCAGGCGCGCGGGGGGGGGGGAGGGGGTCATGCAGGGTCCCGGTGTGGACCACAACAAGGCAACGACACACGCACGGCTGTTGGTGCTGGGGAGGTTAACTTCAAAGCTCACCAAGTCGACCCAATTCCAGTGGTATATAATAACAAACCACTACACGTTCGATGTTCTACCACGGTATTGACGTAAAAGAGGGAAGGCGAACCGATCTTCGGAACGCTCCCAGCAGCCTGTGGAGCGCTTTCACAAGGGCATCGCTTTTGTGCGTCGGTAACCTATCTATCTTATCTTCTTGTGCAAGCGGAGCAGTCGGATTGCCTCAGCACAAGACGATGATGTTGCTTCTTTTGTTCGTCTTTATTCTGTGGGTTCTGCTTCAGTCTTCCAAACGGTACAATATACTACTGGAGTGGTCCGCAAAAATCCAAGGCCAGCTAGGGTGTGTGGTACGGTACCGTACTCGCTTAGCAAACATCAACACGACACCAAAACGGGTGCCGGGTCTCGCTTGCTTCACGGCGGGGTGTGCGTGTGACGGGGGGTTTGCGTACAGTCGTCCCCTGGTTTGCGAATATCGATCGCGCAGGCACATGCGGCTCGAAAACAAATACTACCATACACCACACAAAAACGATACTTTCGTATTTTCTAATATTTCACGTTCTTTCTACAGTAGTGCCAAAAATTATGCGAATCGTGCTGGAGAACCTCCGCGACCACGGTCACCGTAGGCGTGTCCTCGCCGAGTTATCTGCAGCAGCGATCTACATACGCATACACGGAACGATACTTCTTTTGGGTGTGTGTAGCACACACGTTTACATCGTACCGTCAAAACTGCTACGCGTCTCACCTACGGCGGTCCTGCCATGGGCGAATTGCGTGGGGTGCACGAACAAGAGCGAAAACACTAGCCGACACTTGGCGACAAAAAGAAATACCAAAAGCCAGCACCAGGAGTGGCGGGACTAAACATGAGCAGCCTGACATTGGGTGCTGCTGCTGAAGGTTGATCGGGACACTGGGTGGACGCTTCGACGATGAGGTACCACCGGCATTGTGTTCGTTAACGCTGAGCGCAGGCCTACAGAAAGTTGGAGGGGGTGTCTTTTCCCCCCGAATCGATCTTCTGCTATTTACAACACCCTCTTGAGTTTCACATTTATCGTATGCTATGCCACTCAGTGGTCTGCCTGGGTGAAAGGACGCTGGTGCTATTTAGCAGCACCCTGGACTGGTGGGAAACTACAGCAGCTGACATTAATGAGAGGTGCCCGACGACGACAGTTTAAACCCGGCTACGAGATAACAGAGCCAAGCCACCGGCGCACATGTATCCCACAGACAGATATACATAGGGGCGGTAGTTGATGCGGCCCTGAGAAAAACAAAACAGTCATCGCGGCCGGGCCAACTGATGTCCCGCAGAGGACAATCAGTTGCACTCTATGTTGCCCCGTCATGGAGCAGTTTACGTGACAACTCTAATGACAAGGGTGTGGCCATGGCGTCGTTTTCGCAACGCACGCGGCACCTGACCGTTTCCTACCGTTGCCGTTGCCGCTGCCGCTGCTGCTGCTGCTGCTGCTCGGGGCTTGGCCGCACAACAACTCGAGTGTGAAAAACAAAAACCACGCGCTCGGGGCAAGGTATTTTTCCTACTAATCTCGAGAAACGAAAATTGCATGACAGGCCGTCATGAACGGCACAAGATATTCACGAGTCGTCTCGGTGAAAGGCACTTCACCCACACCTTCGGCAACGAGGGATACAACGTGGAACACTGCTGCTGCGATTTGGCCGTGCGAGCGAGGCTCTCGCGAGAGAGTCGCATAAAAACCCATCTGGACATCAACAATAACTTTATGCCTGATGTTTGCGTCCTTCAAACAATACGCAGGTACTGATGTGACGTTCACATGCGGATTCTGCCGCAGGCAAGGGCGAGGGTTGTGTTTGCACCACGGGTCGCATACAGCTCGTAATCTGTACCGAATCGCCTGGCTACGTCCCGTGTACCACCCACGGGACCAACATATAGCTGTGCCCAACTACCACATGGATATAGCCGACCCACGTGCCAACACTGCTGTACTTCTTCATCCCGTGCAAACGCAAGGTTCGGGCGGGAAGGCGTGACGAGCAAACAAGTGCTTTCGCATCCAGCCCGCGGGAGGGCAAAAAGGCACGTGAACAAGTAAAATGGGCTTGTCTCCTGGGACAGGAGAGCTCAAGATGGTGCACAAACGGTACTGGTACGTTGTGGGCACCCTTTTCAGAATTGAGCACCATGGGTATGTGCGTAGTAACCTGTCGTGGGCGCCGCCGGCCAAACCCCTAGACAACCAAAAATATATCGTTCGAGACTTGGACACACTCCCGCCCGGGAGGATACTTGACGGTACCACGTGCAACACTCGGAGGCGGCAGCCCGGCCACACCGAAAAACGCTGCTGTCGACAACAAGAAGGCGCCGCACAAAGAAGAGGTCCCTCCAAAAGTCGGTAAGATAAGATGCGTCGTTGGCTGTACGCACACACCTGGTTGAGCTCTGAGACAGAGCTCTTGAGATTCTTCTTGGTGAGGTTGGTCACGAGGTACCGTATCTGCCAGAAGATGGGCGACGCGAACATATCTCCCTCTAACACCGCTGGCAAAGCTGGACGCCCCCCGTGCACCTACAGAAGCGAGCAACAACATAAAGGGGGGGGGGGGGGGGGGCGGAGGCAGAGAAAAACAGTTACCGCCACCGTAGACGTGGCTACAAAAATGAACGAGCTTGATGAGGTAGGTCTAAGAGCTTACACGTCACGTACCGCCGAATATTATTCGATGCAGAATGTGCGTACCAGAAGACAACTGGATCCGACCGCACAAGAGATATATTGTATAGAGTTGAGGTTTCATGACAAAGGTGGGTAACTTAAAAAAGCACAGCAGTCTCTCGAGGAAAAACAGGCGAGTGTGTGTTGTGTTCATGTGTCGAGAGCATCTGGGGTGATGACGCGATTGTTCAGGGTGCCATCTGTCTGAAAATGTCTTCGGTGGGCGACAACGTGGCTGCCGGGGGGTAAAATTCACCATAATAACCTTAACCTGCTGAAGGCACGGTCCAGTCCAAAAAAGGGGACCAAGGAGGAAGCGTGTGCCTGCTTTTCTCTGCAATCAGTGTCGACCGCTCTACAGAACTGGTTGGCCAATCAAAGGCCGACAGCAGTCTTTGACCGGAAGAGACAAAAATGCTCAACGCCTCGCCACAAATGCGGGCTCCGCCTTGGGGATGTTTACCAAGATCATCGTGAAACGGAGATTGATGTGCAAAAGCAGCACATGGCCGCAGCAGCACCATAAGCGGAAGTGTCCGTGGGTGCGCAGGTAGATCCGTTGGGTGGTTTGACTTGGGCGTCGTCGCCCGAACGAACGGGCTAGCTTTATAACATGGTATAAAAAAAAAAAGTGGATAAAAAAACTGGTGTGGTATCAGTCTTTCTTGACGAAAACACGCCAACCTCGGTTATCACCAACACTACAGCTCTACAATTGCGGTTGTCTTTCTGTTAATAGTCGGGAAAGAGAAGAGATGAGGGAGGGGGGGGGGCAGCGAGAGACGTGGGGTGGGAGAGAAAGAGAAAGAAAGGGAGCGAGGGAGAAAGGGAGGGAGTTTCGTCTATGGATAATTTATAATTTACAAACCGAGCGAAAGTACGTGCGGCATCGCATTTAGGGGCGAGAGGCGTCAAAAGCGTCAACAGCAGTGTCACGAGAGTGTGCTATTCCTCCCCGAGGCAGCGAATTGCGGGGAACGGGGGCACCGCCAGCGTGTTTACTCTCGTTTGATGATGCTCTGTACAAAAATGGGGTGGGATATTTACGGAAGGTGTGCAGTTGAACCAGACCGAGGCACGCCAGACAACACAAGACTCAATAAAACCTTGGCAGCAGCTATCTGTATGTACATGAGCTATGCAAAACCTCAAAGGCGGGAAGCGGGCACTCTTCGTGCCCATGGTACAGCACGTAGACGACCGGAGGTGAACAAGACTGCTGGTTTGTTTCCTATTCATTTACAGCAGTAAATAAAACGGCAACCAAGGGACGGTGAGTGCAGCACAGCAGAGCAAATAACTTGCCGAAAAGAGAGACGAGATTTCCTCGCCTCCCCATTCAGAAGAGCAAAGCGAAACGTGAGGATGCGAAGGGAACAATAAACAGCCCCGAACCCTGAGTAGCCCTCACGTACAACCACGCTGTTGAGCGTCGGGTACAGTCGTGTTTCAGCAGTGCTATCACAACATGACCCACAAACTCCTTCCCCTCTGCCACTGAGAAGCCGATAATGAAGCGTTGTTGAGTGTAGACAAATGTAGCGATCCTCCCCGTCTTTGCGCTGGGAGCCGCGTCCACGAACAGCCACAGGCCGAGCTGCCACTTGGATCCCTACTTACTACGCGTCAAGAGGGAGAGACGTGCGCACGCGTATCCGATTGCCGCCCCCCGGACGCTCACTCACGGCGCACAGCAACCAACAACCGCGCGCCAAATGCCGGCCCATCGTGCCCTTGTGTGAAAAGGTCACGATAGACGGAGGCGAAAAAAAATAGGGGTAGGAATCCGCGCGCGCGCGTCCCAGCAAAGAGAGAAGAGGCGGCGCCCACCACGGGCAGGGCGTGTCCACGAGCCTCACCTACACATGACGTTCTTCTTCGTTTCCTCCTTTCAATGTTGGTCCTCTCCTCTCCGCTCCTCCTCTCTTCTCTCGCTCTGACGCTCTCTCTCTCCGAGATTCCTTGTGGCGCCGCGTGTAGCAGAGGTCTCTCGCGCTCCAGAGAAATCGAAAAGCCTTCCAGATATATATGCGGGAATACCCGCAGAGGAATTCTGCGGGCCTGTCATTTTTGTTTGCCAGAATGACGAAAGAATGTTCATGTTCCTTGTGCAGATAGACGTAGGTGCAGATATCCACACATCCACACATCAATGTGCCCCGTTAGGATCACTCCATCAGGATAAACTCGGGATGGGTTTAATGCAGTAATACCTTGTCAGTGCTCTCTACCTACATATACATCAGCAGTCATACAATATTTACTTTCCCACTTTGATTTGACTAATATTGTGCACCCAACGGCTTTCCAATCTATCGACAGTTTACTTCATCCACATGATGAATACTTCGGTATGTACATAGTTGAGTTGTCCAGACTACCTCCACCGCCGTCGTATGTGTAGACAAGCGAATTTAGCGTGCATCCTGACCACGACGTTTTGATATTCTCCAGCTTGTATATATACTGCCTGCCATGGAAGAGCTTTATTGATGGAGAGTTTTTCAAATCGTTCAATGGCGGCGGTAGGAAATTACATTAGCAATCGAGGTCAGGACGTGAGGACACAACGTGCTCGTATTTTAGACGTCGTCGATTACCCCTCTCTCGCAAAAAACATACTACAACAATGATGCAGGGTGTTGATAGGCAGTATCCAAGACGTTGAAAATGGACCCGCGGCTGACCATTCACCCCCCCCCCCTTGAACGCGTTTTCTTTTTTGTGTGCTTCCCCCGCTCCGTGTCACTCAAACGATGAGATAAGATCAATTGAGTCTTACAAGAATTCACCGCAGCACTCTTCGGTACTCCATCGCACAGGACTAAGGTCACCAGCATCACATCTCATTTTTTTCATCGAAATCGACGACGTACGTACGTACCTACAGTAGGCGCGCCACCTAAAAATAAAGAACCTGGTGGTGCTCAACGAAGACCTAACATGGTCAATGTTGGGTTTCCCCACAGAATCTAGCCTGGTACCCACTGAGAGGTAATCACGTGGTGGCGCGCGAACTGTACATTACACACCACCATGTTGCACTACTATTTACTGCTGCTGTACCACACAACAAAAACAGCTATCTTCGCCAATACTACACTGATGTAGGGCTATAACGCCTAAGAAACGATGAATAGTAGTCACAACAGTGGACGAAACTACATTAACTTCTGCGCGAACACCCCGCCACTCTGCAAGACACGAACAAACTCCCACGAGTTTCTTTCCTCGGCATGGAACCACACAAACACGCGTGCGATGCAAGCACACACACACAACAAGCAAGCGCTGGACATGAATGTCCAACTCGTCAACGGTCAACAAACAAGCAGAATAGTAATTCCTAGCCCGTTGCTGATCCCGACTTAAGCTCCCAGACAAATGCCAGCACAACGCACGTTCTCATCCAAACACGGAAGACAAACCTGTATTCGGAGGACAAAATGCTATTTACTAAGTCTGGGAAAGGTGCAAAAACACACGTACGTACTACTTCGAGTAGAAAATATACCAAACACTTCAAGACGTTGACATCGAACTCTGACCACCCCCCCACACACACCACGTACAGCCTCACGGATCCTCGTACGCACTTGTACATACATACCAGACCACAGACACACGATTGACGTAGAACGTCCCCTTACTGCTCCACACAAATCTACACGACAAGTATCCAAGACGGTAAGACGGTCATCAAACACCGCAACGCCAACGGAAAAGACAAAAACTACCAACTCCCGGCTGACTTCCTGTTCTTCCGTACACAAACCAAAACACAGGGGAAAACCATACACCTTGGGCGACCTAACGCGCCCTGCTTCTGGCGTAAACACAGCTTCACCGTCAGTACTCGCCCCATCTCATGGCAAAAGTCTCCTGGAACGTAACGCCTCTGTCCCCGGCGTCGTCCAAGGACTCGCCCACAAAAACAGCAGAGGCAACGACAACACACACCGACCCCTCTTGGGGTGTTTTCTTGGGCCGACTTGTACTGCTGCAGGGTCATTAACCTGAGATTTCTACGATAAAAGCAACAACTCCCCACACCCACACCCACACCCACACCCACACCCACAGCACGGGGTTCGCACCTACCGCGGTACTTTTTGAAGACTGGATTTTGTTATTGGCCCACCGGTCATTTCAGCGCCGTCGTACCAAATGGAAGAAAGACATGAGACCAGTCCCCGCAACACACATCTGTGTCACCTGGCCGAAGAAACGCAGGTTTGACCTCACTGCCTAGGGTGTGCGCGATCACTCGCACGGCCACGGCATTTGCCTCACACGAATGATCACGAATCCATTTCGACATAGAGAAGCCATGGTTCTTAGTCTACCCCTAATGGAGAAGCCGCAACATGTAAGGACTCTCGAACTATTCCTCCATATAAGTACTTCCTATCCCTACACACACCTACCCACCCCTCAACGACCACGACATGTACGGCTATGAGCACCCCCGTGAACCACCCGTTTTTGACCGTACTCCCTCGCCCAGCACGGTAACTTTCGCGCTGTCGCCGTTATCCAGCGTACCAAACGTAATCACGTTCCTGAATGGCGTCCTCTACTCCTCTTCCGATTCCTTCTCTCGTCGCACAAGCCGTGCTCTCCTCCGCTCCGCCATATTGGCGCCCGCACACCTAGCGCCCGGTTTCCCCTCCCAAAAACGCCTCCCGCACGTTGAAGGCCTCCGCCTCCCCGACCTTCTGCGCGACGAGCGGCTGCGCGGGCAGGGTGTAGCTGATGCCGTGGCGGTTGCACTCCCTCGCGAGCAGCTTGTGGAACAAGCTCGAGTTGCCGAAGCGCCGGCCCATGTTGGCGCTGTTCTCGCGCTGCTGGCACAGGACGAACACCGACAGCCGGTTCCCGTCGGTGAGCCCCTTGATCTGGAAGTCTACCGTGTCGGGCAGCAGGCCGCCCAGGCCGTGCTTGTGGCGGTGGCGCCCGCGCTGGGTTTGGATTTGTGTAGGCGACCGGGCGGGCAAGGATAACGGCGGTGCGAACGGACCATGAGTTCATTTCCATGCCGGTGAGACGGCGGGGGGGTGGGGGGGGCAGTGCAAGAAGAAGCTAAGCACGAAAAAACACGATAGATAACAAGATCGCTGGTGTGTTGAATACGAGATTCTTCTTGGTTGTAGTGTCTTGGTTGTCCTAATGTCACTGGAACATCTGTCCATATTTTCTCCGTTCTACTTCTTGATGGGCTGGCTCTGAATTAGATGACGACGTCGTGGCCGAGTAATTGCGGTTGCCACAACGCTGCCGCCATGCAGCTGCCGTAGAGTCGGGGGGGGGGAAGGGGGGAGTACTACCGATCTCCGTGCGACGCGAACAGCCCTCTTTCCAGACAACAGCCACGGATAGAAAACAAAAAACAACGCTCACCCGCAACCCGGCCGCGATTCCGCTCTTCATCTGATCGAGCTTCTCCATCGGGGTGTCCACCGAGACGGCGATCATGGTGTGGTGCAGGTAGCGGCTGGACCGCCACTGGTTGCGGATAGCCTTCTTGGCCATGATGTTGTTGGCGATGAGGGTCGCCTGCCCGTCCCAACGCCGGAACACCTGCGCGGATAAGGACGGAACGGTGGATGGAGGGACCGGGAATGGGAGAAGGGGGGAGAGGGGGGGTATTCAACACCGGTGCGCGGTGTGTATGCAGCAAAGCATCAGAACGGCTGGTTGTATTGTACAAGTAGTCTTTCAGAAAGACGGACCCTCGCTCGCACGCCCTACAAGCGGCGTCAAGTTTCAGCCGACTGGACTGGTAAGACGCGTGGGGAGACAGGGTGTTTTGGACCGCCTTCACGCGGTCAACAAGTTAACGAGGAAAATAGAACAGGGAGGGGGTACGCAGACTCTAATTCCCTGGCCCCAACCCTAGCTCAACTTCCCCGACTAAAATTTTATCCAACATGTTCATACAATATTGCACAATACGAAAAACCCTGCGAGGGCAACTGTGTGTCTGTGTGGCACCACGGGTTCTCATTACGAGGCATGCAGTACGACACGATATCAGGGTTTGTGTGAGAGCTTCCCACGGGTGCTGTACAGCAATGCAGGCACGCGCGGGCAGGGACGACGCGTCAAGAGAAAGGGGGGAGGGGGGGCAAGCAAGCACGAAACTTAAAAAATCTCTCACCGTGGTGAGCATGTTGATCCTGGTGACGATGTACCAGTCCTCGCCACCGGTGTCATCCACGAAGTACACCGGGTCTCCCACGTCGTACGCCCTGCACGAAGAGTAGTTCGTGTCAAAATACGAACACCAGGGAGGGGGGGGGATAAAGGTTGAGGTTAGCCCCGCAAAAGAACGCCCCACAGCAGTAGTAGCAGACAGACCCGCATTGTCCTTGTCCATCCCAACCTCTCAAGCGATATTCTTTATTTCGGTTCCTTTAGCCCCATGCCCAAAGGCGACTAGGTGGAATGCAAGGCATGGCGGTCACACATCCTTTGAGCGTCAAAGCCTGGTTTTGGTTGGGGTAGGGTAGAGGAGTTTTCTCGTGGAGATGACAAAGCTCTGAGCGGCTTGACCTTTGGTTCCAGTTATCGGTACGAGGAACAGAAAACAACTTGTCTCTGTGAAATAAAGAAAACAAAAAAAAAACGTGAAAGGTAAAAGAAAGCAAGACATCCGACGGGGGGTGTTTCTCGTCCAATCTAACAGAGCATCAGGGAAACACCTTAGGGAGATCCGAGGTCGAGACCATACCATAGTGAGATCGCAGGTCGAGACCATCCTTTGGTACAAGCGACACCACTACCGACGACTCGCGAAACGCAACTACCGTCTTCTCGTACTTCAGCAGCCACGCACACATACATGGAGAAGAAGGATAAGAAGCATAGGTTTGACTGCACACAGCAGCCTTGGGTTATTGCGACCCGGGAATTAACAGCTCTTTTCGGGCCCCACGGAAAACCAAGGTGGGAGAGCCAAAGCAGGGGTAGCACGGGGGGGGATTTTTTATTTCGTGACGAACAGGAAGACGATTGTTTCGAAGAAGGCCGAGGGGGAGCTCCCGAACAGGAAGGAAAACGCCACCCCCAGCGAGAGCTCCAACCCCGGGGGGGGGGGGAGGGCGATCGAGCCGATGCGGACAAGAGTCCAGAGTGAGAAACAATAGGAATAACCGATTCTCGGTGGGACGCCAACAATGTCGCGGCCAGAAAGAGGCTCCACAACAGCCCACGCGGGAGAAAAAGAAGGCTACACATGTGCGGGAAAAAAACAGAGACGCGTGGCTGCAGTATCAACAACAAAGGCGACACACGCGGGTAGGTACGGCGAGGTTAAAGGTCGCCGAGAGCAAGATTACGATGCGAGAGATTGGAGTGGGCAGAACGGGGTCGGATAGAAAGAGAAAAAAAAAGG